CCCAAGATCCTAGCAAATCTCCTTCTCCAAAGGAACACCATTCCCTACAACCATTGCTTGGCCCAGATGTTCTTCTTGATAGGCTTCACAGGCTCAGAATGCTGGTTGCTGGCCATCATGGCATACGACCGCTACGCCGCCATCTGTCAGCCTTTGCGCTACTCCCACCTCATGAGCCCACGTGTCTGCATGGCAGCAGCCATTATTGCCTGGATCGGGGGCTTCCTGGATGCAGCAGTGCACACAGCCTTGGCTTCCAACTTAAATTTTTGCAGAGCCAACCAAATCCATCACATCTTTTGTGATCTCCCACCGCTGCTGAAAATTGCCTGTGGTGACAAATTTGTCAGTGAGATAGCAATCCACCTAGCCACTGTATTTGTGGGATTGGGTCCCTTCCTTTTTGTTGTCATCTCATACGTCTACATCCTTGCGTCCATCCTGCACACCCACTCCAACTCTGGGAGGCACAAAGCTTTCTCCACTTGCATTTCTCACGTGGTGGTGGTCATCCTTTATTTTGGAAATGGATCGGTTAACTACAACCAGCCCAGCTCTGGCTACTCCCTGCAGACTGACACCCTGATTTCCACCATGTATTGCATTGTCACCCCCATGTTGAACCCCCTGATCTACAGCCTCCGCAACAAGGAGGTGAAGGAGGCCCTGTGGAAGCTCCTGGGAAGTCCCAGGAGAATATAGGATTCTTCTCAGACATTGTAAAGATACGTTTGAACCCCTTCCCGGCACTCCAGGAGACCAGTTCTTGCTTTTCCTGAGGTGGCTCAGGACAGAAAAAGCACACGAGAGACACTAGGTGTTTGGCTGGGTCTCACCATCAATAGCTTTCACGCTGACTGTCTTCCTCAAGGCTTTCTCCAGAAAGAAATAGTCTGTCCTCTGCAACATGCCTATCCAGTTAACCCCCCACAGAAACATTCACAGAAATAGTGAAGTTGGTTAGTGTTCACCTGGTTGGTTGGTTTTTTGAGGTTAGCGTACTTTGTGAACTCTTGGGGATGTGAATCCATTGGCATGGATTCTTCAGCACCTCAGGACTTTCTGGCCATGAGGAGGCACTGGAGGCCGTGTTTCCTGGAATGCAGAAACATGGGTTCAAAATCTGGTGGGACAGGCAAGACCCCATGGGGTTCAGGTTTTTCTCTTATTTGGAAACAAAGAAACACGCAGCTGGACCTAAGAGAGGCCCTATCGGAGTAGACAAGGGCTTTCACTTTTCACTGGCTTCACGGCTTGTTTTTTCTTCCGTGGGCAGTTTCCCACTTTCCTACTGATGGACAGAGAAAAAGTATCTCACAAGCCTTCTCCCCATCGATCTGTGTTGGTTCTCCAGAGCATTATAAGGGAGCAGATCACCACCCCGGATGAAGAGTGCGCAATATATGTAGCATGCAATGCAGAATGCTTCCTCCACCAGCGGAACTCAGCCCCTTTTGGTTTGCTTATGATCCCAAATGAAATCAGCACAAACGTGCCAGTTGACCAAGCTCCATCCGGTTCTTCTCCCAGAGCCAGCATTTCTCAGGTCACAAGTGGCTTTGGGGGAAAGGTGTGATGGCCACGCAGCTTCAAGGCCATCAGGTGCTGAGAACTTGTTTTAAGAAACAGGCTTAAAACACCACTGGTAAAAGAGGTAGACTTCTCCCTTGCATTGCCACTGGGGAAGCAACTGGTTCGCTGAGCAGAACTCTTGCTTACAGGGAGGATTTTTATCTGACCAGACTTTACCTCAAAGACTTCTGCCAAGTGCTGCCTGGAGACTGAGTTTAACCATGTCAAGACAGGAGGCCTGTTCAGTCCTCCCTAATCCTGTTAAGGGACCCCAACGCCCTGTTTGTCATCGTGATCAAGTGAGGAGAACATGGATGCAGGAGTCTCTTCCGCAACTGCACACCTCAACAAGTCTACAGAACCCCAGAGGGGTCCAACTCCATCCTTAACAAGCAGTAGAAATGGCAACCTTTGTCCAACCCTTTGAGGTTGGGGGGGGAGGAAAAAAATGGAATGTCGGTGGAGGGGCTGCTCAGGGGTAGGGTGCCAAACACTCAAGTAGTGCCAGGCAGATCCCATTCACCTGCCCTTCAGATGTGTTGGCTGCAGACATTTGTTGGCTAGGACTGATGTCGAGGGCAGAGGGAATGGCCTTGATGGACAGGAGGAAAAGCCGCTCCCAAGCCAACGGTCAGATAAGTGGGGCTTGAGCCCGGCCCAAGAACGTAACTTGAGGAAATGTCTCAGACAAGCCCCTCCCTAGTTCTCACAAAGATAAAGCGGGGGGGGGGGGAGCACCTTCAGACTTGCAAGATTCTGTTACTAGACCTGTCACAATAAAAACAGTCCTGACCTACGTGGCATTGGCTTCCGTGTCTGATCTACCTTGAAGGATTGACATCAATGGGAACTGGACTCCTATTGTTTTATGTTTTGAATTTTCAAATTTTCAATGTGGTTTCTGTTTAAACTTTGCATACATCCAGAGTTGCTGTGACAAGATGGGTGGCCGTATAAATCTAAATAAATAAATAAACTTCTGAATGGGCAACCCTGGACTAGGGCTTAGAGAATACTGCAGAAGGATCTTGAGAACCTCTGTTACTTTCTTGGAACACAGCACAGAATGGGCAGGTCTTCTGAAACTTCCAGAATTGCTTCATTCATTTATTTATTGAAGCCGCATGGCCGCCTAGCTTAACCACAGAACTCCACGCAGATAGGCAGACTTAAGCTTGTTGCTTAAAAAGAAATAATGGAGGCTTCTTACAGACTGTGTGACAGCATAAAACTAAAGGCACATACCAGGCTCCACTAACATCCTGGCCCCAACTCCGAAAGAGAGGTTTCCATGGTCTTTCGAAAGCCAGCAGAGTCGGGGCCGTCCAAATCGTACTGGGGAGGGCTGTATCCCGGGGCAGGCACTGCAGCAGAGGACATTCATCTCTGGGGTCCTGCCAAGTGACCTCTCTTCCCAGAGGGAACTTGGAGCGTGCCCACCCTGACAGATCTGGTGGGTGGCAGAGATAATTGGAGACAGGCGGCCCCACGAATAACTGAGCTCCACCCCATGTATGACTTTAAAGGTGACAACCAGCACCTTGGATCTCACCCAGAACACCCCAGAGAAATGGTGTTACTCAAAACTGCACATGCCATCACATTCTGGACTAGCTGCAGCTTCTGGATATTTTTCAAGGGAAGCCCCATATAGGGTGCATTGCAATAATCCAAGCAGGAAGTGACTAAGGTGTGAGTGACCACGAACAGGGCCTCCTGATCTAGGAATGGGTGTAACTGCCACACAAGATGGATTACTTGTGCAAAGGCCCTCCTGAAACAGCTGCCACCTGCTCTTTCAGCAGGAGCTGGGAGTCCAGGAGGACCCCCAAACTGGGTACTGGCTCTGAGGAGGGGAAGGCAACCATGTCCGAACCAAAGATGGAAAGCTGCCAGTCCCAGGATCCAGGAGGCCCCAACCCATAGCTCCTGTCTTGCTAGGTTTGAGTCAAAGTCTGCTCTTCCCCATCTAGACTCTCACAGCCACCAGGCACTGAGAAATGCTTTGGGGTACTGGTGGTGGGTATGTTGGGGGGGGGGAATAGCAGTAGAGTGGCAGACTGCTGGGGACCCTTCCCCCCACTCTGCAGAGTCCACCTTGCCTTTCCCTCCTCTGTTAGCTGTAGAGAGGGATGAGAGACCACTCAGCACAACAGCACCTGCGCCCAGGTGCCTCTAATCGTGTGATTCCCCCTCTGGGTGAGAGCCAGAGGAGGAGACTGGTTGGGTAGGAGTGGGTGGGAAGGGAACCCTCACCAGCGAGTGAGAGCAGCAGGGAGGGGGCTCCTGTGAATGTGAATGTGAAGGTGCTTGTGTGTGTGTGTTTGTGGGTTGAGAGGGGAGGTGGTCACTGGGTACCCTGACGGCGCTGAAAGCCAATGAAGCTGAAGTGCCTCGGGGTGCCTGGCATCCCCCGCCCCCGGGATGGATGGGATCGAGCACTGTGGGAGGTCCCCGGCCTTGGGAATTGGGGGGCCTAGGTCGGAGAATAACATGGCCTCCTCTGGGGGGATATGCGTGGGACAAAGCATTTTGGTGGTGATGGGCATGAGGAGATCTGGTGGGGGACGAGGAGCGAGCCATTCTTGGGGAACGCGGGACCGATGTCTCATGCCAGTTTTGCGTTCCAGCTGCTTGGTCTCAGTTCCTGGACCCGATCAGCAGACCCTAGTTTCCGGATGCTGCTACTAAATGCCAGGGTGGTCTTTAATAAGGCCTCCCCAATCTACAGTTGGATCATGGACAAGAAGGCTGACCTGGCATGCATTACTGAGAACTGGCTGGTCTCGGAGGTGAGAGTGGCAGCTGGGGTTTCGAGCGTGGCACCAGCCGAGAACCCGGGTCAGGGGTGGAGGTGTTGCGATTGTCATCTGGGAATCTCTTACAGCTTTCAGGGGCGCTGCCCTGCAGGTCACCGGATGTGAGACCCTGCTCATCAAGTTGGGCTCTAGGGATCAGTTGGGACTGTTGCTGTTGTACCGGCCTCCCCGCTGCGTAGCAACCTCCCTGCCTGAGCTCCTTGGTGCCATTTCTGGGTTGGCAGTGGAGTTCCCCAGACTTTTGGTCTTGGGGGATTTTAATCTGCCTTCCCTGGGAATGGGATCTGAGGTGGCTCAGGAGTTCATGGCCACCATGACAGCCACTGGCCTATCCCAGGTCATCCAGAGCCCAACATGGGACAGTGGTCACACACCGGATCTGGTGTTCCTGTTGGAGCAGTGGCTATGTGATCTGCAATTGGGGGAGCTTCTGGTGTCCCCCTTGTCATGGTCAGACCACGCCCTGATTACCGTGGGATTTTCTGGTGCCACTATCCACTGCAGGGAGGCTGGACCCATTAGACTGGTCCACCCTCAGCGACTGATGGACCTGAATGGGTTTCAGAGGGAGCTGAGGGTTGTTTCTATTCGTCTGCTGCACAGTCCATCTGAAGCCTTGGTGTAAGAGAGCAACCGAGGCTTTGGATCACATCACACCCATCTGACCTCTCCCCTCTCGTGGTTCCCATCACTCCCCGTGGTTCATGGAGGAGCTAACAAAGATGAAATGAAAGGAGAGACAGCTAGAGCATTGCTGGCATCCTACAGGGGGTAAACTCAACCGGACTGCCCCTGGTTGACCAAGGGATGTTGTGGAGGTGATGAGACTGGATGGGGAAGAACAGGCTTCAGCTCAACCCTGAGAAGGCTGAGTGGTTGTGGGTTTTAGGGCTCTCTGGACCTGGGGACTTTCTATTGTTAACCCTGAATGGGGTTACAGTCTCCCTGGAAAAGAAGGAAATGGGTGTGTGTGTGGGGGCTTTTAAAATGCCTTGTTTTTTAAAAATGCTCTTGGATTTATTTCTAGAACCCCAGAGAAAAGCAGATGAGATAACTGATTCCAGATTGCTCTTCCTGCCTGGTTAAGCTTCAGATATGGAAAAGATTATTCTGCTCTGCCCTCTTCCTTCCTCCCCACCCCCCGAGTCTGACACAAGAAAACTGTCCTGTGCCTGCTAACAAGTCCCAGATGAGAGTTTCCCCCAGAGGATCTCTGCTGCTTCTCCCCCCAGCTTCATTCCCTGCAGAATCCAGGGCAGGGATATTCTCAGGGCCCGCACACCAAGGCACATTTTCCCCCATGAGCACCAC